CGTGCCGCCGGCCGGCGGCACGGAGAGCTCCCGACTGGCTACCGCCGTGCTGCCCCGGCTTCCATGCCAGTGCTGCTAGGTACCCGCTTGTGGTTCTGTCTTCGTCTTCTTCTGTCGTTTTTTGCCTTTATTTTTGGGCTCGGTTTTGTCTGGAAGAGAGAAAGGAGGAGAAAAAGAGGGCTAGCTTGTCAGCCCGGCCGCTAGCCCCACGTGTGGGATGCGGATCCCGCATCCTCCCTCGGCGGCTGTTAACACAAGACCTTCTTCCTCATTTATGGGGGACCCCAGAGTTGTCTCCGGATGCCCAAACAGCAGTAGCTGGGACACAAATCTCTGTGTGTCCCCAAGAACCTTCCAACTGGTGCCAAGACACCAAAGCAAACAGGGATACGGGATAATCCCTGCTGGGCTGCGGGCTCCGATGGGAAGGGGAGCTGAGGAGGGGAAGTGATGCCCAAAAAGTGGGCAGCTTCGTCTCTCCTTCCCCTCCTGCACCCACCATGTGGTCTCCTGACCCCAAGCTGGCCATCCTGGGGGAGATCTGGTGCTTCTCTCCCTGCTCAAGGAGCACAGGGACCATCACCGGCCGGTGCTGCGTGCACCAGCGCTGTCGTCGCCGACACTTTCCGAGGGCTCCAGCTCTTTTCCTGCCCTGTTTTTCGGCTCTGATCTCCCAGACAGTTGCCACCCACCAAGGAGAGGGCACAGCACGAACACCAAGCGTCTGGAGAGCGCGGCAGACACACAAGGCAGATTTACAGCAGCGTGAGGGGTTTTTTTTTGTGCCTCGGCCAAATGCGGATGCTTCTCTCTTCCAGCTGCCCGGGGACCGGCTCAGAAGTGGTGGCACAAATCTCTCATCACACGGTCGGGTCCCACTGCCTTCCCCGGCTTGCCCGGGCTTGGGGATGTCTCAGCTGCATCAAGTGAACTCGCCGTCCTCCTCCGGCATCTGGATCCCATAACCCAGCACTTGGCCAGGCGGGCAGGAGCCTGGGAGCGAGGGCAGATGCACGCTCCGCCATGGTGGGGACGCCGAGCAGCCTGCCCGGGAGCTGGTGGCCAGGACGGGATGCCAGACACGGAGGGACTGCCCTCTCCTGCCCACCCAGCTGGGGCAGCAAGGCAGTGGGGGCTGCTCGTGGGGCACTGAAGGGATTTCCCTCTGCCTTCCCGGGGCCAGACCTGCCTCCAGAGCTGATCCCAGATGGATAGAGGAGCCCCGCCATTCCTTGAGCCCGTCACCATGGCCTCACTGCTATCAAGTGCCCAGGCAGGGCTGGGAGGCCAAGCACTTTTCTGGGGTGTTGCTGCCTTCCTAGTCGCCCCACGAGATGGGACACTTCCAAAGTGCCAGCACGGTGGTCTCCGCTGCCAGGACCTGCTCTGTGCCAGACAGGGATGGGCACAGGCACAGTGCCACAGGCACCCGCTTGGCACCACGCCGCGGGACACCGTGCTCCGGAGCAGCCTGTCCTTCCACGCCAAACTTGCCACATCAAACTGTCACCAGCTCTTCAGGTCTGGAGCTGGCGCAGCCTGGCAGGGAGAAGAACATCCCCAAAATTGATGCCACCTGGCACCTCGAAGCTGCGAGTCGGGGCCCGGGCGGGGAAAGAAATCATCTCCTCCGTGCTGTCAGCAGGAAAACATTATTTATGATTGATGGTGCTGAGATGAAGCCACTCTCCTGGCTCCACGGCCCCAGCCTCGGCACGCACGTCTTCTGTTATTGCCCCCCTTTCTCCATCCTTTTTCTCTTCCTCCCCACCCTCGCAGACCTTTTCTCTGCCACCTTTGGCCCCTGATGTGCTGGCAGTACTGGCCGGCACGTCCCATGGCACACAACGATCCCACAGCTCTGAACCACAAACCTCTGCAGCGCTGGGGCCAGAGGCTCAGATCCCCTTCCAGGCCCTACAGATCCATATCTCATGCAATCCCCCTTTCTGCCAGTTATTAAGCGGAGATTTATTAGAACGGCTTCGGTCCAGCCGGTTGCATCCAAAAATGACATCAGCCTCCTCCTGGTTCCCATCACCAGCCACGCGCCCGCGCCGCCCGGCCAGACCCTGCGCCAGGTCTGGGCACTGCAAGAGGTGGTGGGGACCCCCACACTGGGGACCCCCCAAACCCAAAAGGAGGCACAGGAGCAGGGGCTCATATCTGGGCAGGTGAGCCATGGAGGAGGATGCTGCTCTGGGGTGTTTCCCAAAGCTTTGGCCGTCATTACTCCCCTGGGTGATGCCCATCAGCTCCACAAGTGCTCTGGGGGCTCGGAGGTTTTTGTAGGAATCTCCCCTGTGGGTCTCAACCCTCCTTATTCACAACTGTGGGGCAGAAAGCCCCAGCTTTGGCTTTCCCTTTGCAAGTGTGTCGGGATGGGAGCCGGAGCTCGGCAGCCTCATCCCACCACGGTGGCTCAGGCCAGTGCCTGTCCCAGTTTGGCGTTGGAAGGGGATGCCGACTGGTCCTAGTCGGTCTTAGGGGCTGCCGGGTGGGAGCAGCCAGCCCGGCACACTGCCCACGGGGGTCCCCGCCAGCCCCACAGCCTGTGCCAGCACCGGGGCTGCTCAGCACATGTGCCTGAGACGGCGGCTTTCTCCAGAACTGCACGGTTACAGCCACCGGCCTTGAAATGCCTGGGAGATGACAACCAGGCTCACTGGCCACTGCCAGATCGTGGCCACTGCCCCCCTCCCTCCTCCAGTGGTGCACCTCGGGGGGGCTCACTTTGGAGGGGTGCTTGCTTTGGAGGCGGTGTGATGCTCACCTCCCGGGCAGTGCTTCCTCATGCGGCACCTCCTCGTCTCCAGCAGCGCGGGGCAGACGGCCCCCTCCTCCTTGGCAGCCCCTGCCACCTCCCGGACCCGCGTCTCCAAACCCCACTTGCAGCCACAGGTGCGGCCCTCGTGGGTGCAGGTGCTCCACTCACTCCACGGCCCTGGCTCGCACATCTCTGCAGGGGACAGGGGGTGCAGAACGGGGGACGGTGACCGTGCAGCACCAGGTACCCCCCCCAGGGACCAGGGGCATGGGGTGTGGGTGCTGCTTACCTTGGCACTCACGGGTGCCAGGCTGCGCTGCGGTGCTGGGGGGGCACTGCCGAAAGCACTGGCCCTTGTGCAAGTAAAACTTGTCTTTGCACTTCATGCAGAAGTCTCTGCTGAAGCAGCTCTCGCAGCTGGGCGACCTGCACTCTGCCGGGAAGGAGGGCTGGTCAGCCCGAGGGCTGGCATACAATGAGCCCAGAGCCACCAGCCACGGAACCCACCGGGGACCCAAAGCCCTTTGCAAACCTGCAGGGTCCAGGCTGCAGCACTGGGCAGGGGCAAAGGGGAGGATGCTGCAGGAAACGCAGCTGCTGGGGATGCTGCAGGAAATGCAGCCGTAGCCCTTCCCAGAGCAACGAGGGGACACGGGGGGCACTGGGAGGAGTGGGGGGATCCCGGCTGGTGCAGGACGTACTTGTGCATCTGTTGACCTCCAGCCCCCGCACGCCGAAGTAGCCGGGGGGGCAGGTGTGGACACACATCCCGTACTGGCGGATGCCGTCCCTCCAGATGAGCAGGAAGAGCCGGTGGTGGCAAGTGATGCAGCCGTTGTCCTCCGAGCACAGGACGCAGCCCGTGCAGTTCTCCAGCAGGCCAGCGCTCACTGCGGGGACAAAGGGAGGAGAGGGGCTGTGGCACACGTGCACGGCATGGCCAAGTCACTGGGGAGAGTCCCAGCCCCCTGACAGTCCCCCTCTGACCCACCGGTGACACAGCACTGTCCTGACTCCCTGCAAACACCTCCCCACCTCTCTGTGCTCCCCAAATCCCCTCCTCTCCCCAGGCTGGCAGTGTGGGGACACATGGGGACACACAGAGCCATCGCTCCTCGTTGCACTCAGCTTGGACATTGCTGCCTCCATCACCCCAAGGTCCAGGGTTGAGGATTCACCTTGCACCCAGGTCTGCCCAAAGGTGCCAGCCTGAGCCCTGTCCCTTTGCCAGCTGTGCCCATCCAGTGGGAAGCACCCTCATGCAAGCTAAACAACGGCTCGGTCAGTGGGTAGAAACATGCCCTGACCTGGATTAATTAGTTGATGCCTGGATTAATTAGTTGATGCCTGTTAAGTGGCAGGGGACAAAGAGCATTTTAGAAACGATCAAGAGGAGTGGAGATAAGGATCGGTGTGGTTGCTCAAGAGCCCCTGGCTGCCGCTGCTGCTGTGCTCCTGACCTGTGTGATGGTGACCAGCCCTGAGGTGGGCTCTGCTCCCAGGGACAAGGATGGGTTGCCAGCCCCTGCCAGCCCACAGCCCCTGGCAGGGACAGTGGAGACCCTGCCAACTGCTCCTCTTCCCTGAGCCCAGAGAAACACAGCCCAAAGAGGTGCTCCTGGCACTTCAGGAGCTGGGTAGCTGAGGGTGTACCCATGCCTGGTGTCTTTGCACCCCCAGACTGGTTGGGCACCTCCGTAAGGGGCCACCAAGCTCCTGCATGGAGAAGCCAATGCCTCTGCTGTGCCTGGCTGTGTCGGGAAGCCCTTGCTTGGCTCTGGCACCACAGGCTCCCCAGAGCGTTCCTGGGCAAAGGCTCGTGTTGTGCAGCGGTGACAGTGCCATCAGTGCTGCTGCTGCGTGCTCATGGCCCGGACTTCATCTGCCAGCAGATCTCAGAGCATTAAGATGGTTTTTTTGCACATAGTGAAGGCCTAAAGAGGCGGCTGACCTGGGCAGAGCCCAGCGCCTGCAGCTGGGACAAGTGGGGGCTGATGTGGACCCCCCTGCTCCAAGCCCTGGCAGGCACTGGGAGGGACCTGTCCTGGGGCAGCTCCAGCCCCCGCAGAGCTGAGTGGGCAAGGATGAGCCAGAGGAGCCCCTTCTGCTGGGTGCTGCCCGGCACAGACACGGGTTTCAGAAGAAATGTGGCAGCAGAAGGTCCCCATGGCTGCGGTGGCCAGGGCAGAGGGCCTGGAGGAAAGCAGAGGTTGATGCTGGAGAAGCTGGGGGAGATGCTGGCAGATGATGTCTCCAGCCTTGTGTGATGGTCCCCGACACAACTTTCCCCGGTGCAAGCCACTCACTGGTGCAGCTGTCCCCAAGCTGGCTCATCCCGGTCCCCTCACCGGGGCACAGGGGGTTGGACGGCAGTGTGGTACGGCACGGCCGGCAGGCTTCGTTAGGGCTGCATCTGCTGGGAGCGCGCTAACGAAGCACCTTGGATCCATTAAGTTGTTATGGTCTCCGTTACATATTTACCAAACGCTGACAACATTTGTGTTCCTGGCTGCAGCTGGAGCGGCTTCCCTGGAGACCTGGGGATTTACGAGCCTCTTTCCCTTCCCTAATTCTTTTTAAGGATTTTTTTTTAAATTTTTCTATTTTTTTAAATTTTTTTTGCCGTTGTGCCTCCAACCCCCATCTGGGGCAGGAGAGGTGGGGAGCCCTGCACAGGCTCTGGGGCCTCGTTACCATCACTGGCTTTAAAAATAGCCCCATGGTACCAAAACTGTGGGACTGGGGAAATTGGGGACACCTGGTGGGTTTGCCTCCCCCCAACCCAACCTTGATTGCAGAGATGGGGTGCAGGGCTGAGCTGAAACGAGTACTGGGCAGCAGGGCACACGGGGTACCAGGGTGCCTGGGTGGGTGCTCCCTGCTCAGGCTGTGCCAAATGGCAGCGTGGCATCACTGTCACTGCCTGCCCCGAGCCCAGCTCTGCCACCATGGGGTCTGCAGGCACCAGGAGGCTCCTGGGCACTGGGCTGTCCACACTGTCCCTCCGTGGCAATGGAGCACACCTGGAGGGACCTACTGGTGGTGGTGGGGTGGCTGCAGTATCCCTCTCAGCTCTTTGCCCCCAAGACTGTGCCAGCCCTTCTGCCAGGACCTGAGGCCCCCGTGTGTCTAGCATTGGGCTGCTCCACACCGAATGCCAGCAGCCCGAGCACTCACCCCGTGGCACCCAGAACCCCTCTTGGAACCTGGCAATTTCCAACCAGGGGTGTTTTGGCTGCCAGCCTGGCCACCCACATAATCACATGCACCCACTGACTCTGTACGTCTTTAACGTGCAGCAGCCCCAGGGAAAGCTGCCAGGGCTCCAACCTGGACCCCAAAAGAGCCCTAGTCCTGCCAGGTCCTGTCCCAAACCCCAGCACACACCAGTTCCAAACTGGACCTGCTCCCAGTGCAGAGCTCCCATTCGCCATGCCTCCCATCCAGGTGGCACTGCCCAGCGCTGCCTGGCAAGGGGACACGAGCCAGTGGCCAGTGGGGGGGTGCACATACCCCGGCACAGCCCTGGCACACACTCTGCTCTGTGCCCAAGCAGCAGCTCAGCTGGTGCCTCTGCACAGGGGAAGGACAGGGCAGGGGGACAGACAGTGGCTCTGAGCATCCTTCCAGGAGGTTTTACTCCCCACGCACTTAACGAGTTAAGCAGAGATGGGAAATATTGGAAAATCAGCCCATTCGGCACTCTCCTCCTGATCCCAGCTCTCCTGGGATTTGCAAAGCTGGTCCCCATGCCAGCCAGCATCCCCCTGTCCCCTGAGGGCAGGGCTGGCATCAGGCAGGGGAATGCCATGAGGGTGGGCATTGCCTCCTCCACGAAACCTCCCCTGAGCCAGCCCCGTGCCGTGCGCTGAGAGGGGAACGCAGCCGGTCTCCAACGGGGCCCGAGGGACTGGGTTGGGAGGATGCTGGTTCCCGGCTCCTTCCAGCCCCGGGCATCGTTTCACACCTCCTGCCCGCTCCACACGAGCAGCACCGGTGGCTCCAGCACTGGTGGGGGAGGCAGGAACCGGCAGCCCCACGTCCCTGAGCTGCCCCCCGGTACCTGAGCGGGACAAGCCGGCCGCACACACCATACCTTGCTTCTTCCATCGGTTCTGCGTGAGCATTTCCACGGAGCTGATGAATAACAGCAACATGAATATTATCCACAGCATCTGGGCAGGAGTAATTTCGGGCAGGGAAGAAATCAAATCATCCAAGCGGCTGGCGGGCTCGCCTCCTGCCAGAGCCAGCCGAGGGGCGGCGGGAGGGAGGAGAGAGGCTCTGGGCTCACACCATCCCACCCCGGCGTTGCCGCGGGCACACAGCCGAGCTTTAAGGTGGCATAAGCCCCCCGGGAGGCAGGGGCTGTCAGGCCAGGGGACCGCTCATGGTGGCAGGGAAGTGCCGACTGCTCCGGGGAGCTCTGCCTTTATAGCCGGTGCCAGACCCCCCCCCCCTCCGCCTCCCCTGCTCCTCACCGCCCCTCTTCAAAATAATAATAATAAAAAAAATCAAAAAAAAAAATCCCCCAGCAGCAACAAAAGCAACTCGCAAACAAATTGGCTGGAGTCCCCCCCCGCCGCAGCACTCCAGCCGCCACCTCGGCTGGGAACCGTCCCACTGTCCCGCCGCGGTCCGACTGTCCCGCTGCCATCCCAGCGCCGGGGTCACGGTGAAGCCCCCTGTGATCTGGGGGGGGGGAAAGGGTGGAGCCAGGCGGGTGACGCTGCCTCTGCCATCCCCCCTTCCCCCCGGCTCAGCCCCCTGCTCCCAGCCCCGGCAGCACCGGTAGCCCCCAGTAGCCCTGGCAGAGCTGGGGGACTACGGCAGCCCCCAGGCAGGGCTGAGCCCCGGGGCAGGCCGACGGGCTGGGAGCTGTGGTGGATCTCCAACAGCTCCATCGGCGGCTGCGGATCTGCTCTTGCTGTCCTCAGGATTGCATCTGACTCTGATTTTCCAAGCGCTTCATAACTCACCTCCCTCCGAGCTGCAGAGCTGAGCTGTGCCGAGCCGAGCTGTGCCGAGCTGCACTGAGGGCTTCCCAGCTCCCACATGGCTTCCCACACCCCTCACTCCATGTAGTGCTCCCCAAAACACACCTGGGGGGCTCTCAGTGTGCCCAGAGGGTCAGGAGGGGAGTGCAGGACAGGATGAAGGACGCTCGCCAGGTACCCTCAGGTGAGATGTGGGTGCTAGTGCTGAGGGTGCCCGTGCTGAGAGCTCCTTGCTCAGCCCATCATGCTGGCACATGCCTTCCCTGTGCCAGAAGCCCTGGAGCAGCCTGGGGTGTCCCTGGCCAGGGCAACCAGGCCACTTGCCACCAGTGACAGCCCTGATGGCAGCCCCCAGCAGCACACGATGGCTTCCAGTCAACCAAGGGAGGATTTCTCTCTGCTTCGCTCTTGCGGGGTGCACTGATTTTAGTGAGACCTGCTCCTACAGGCAAGGCTGACACCAGCTGGAGTCGGTTCATTCCCACCCAGGAAGCTCTAGATCTGCTTTACCTGGGAAGGATGAATGGGTTGGGACACCACTGAGCACCAGCAAACTCATTGCGCCAGGGAGGGTCCCCCATGGGGCTGCAGTGGATGCATCCAGCAGTGTCTTGGGGCATCCAACCATGCCCAGGGAAAGCACATTGGGGTTACTCTCTCCTCTACCCCCACAAATTTCTCCCCCCTGCTCCTTCTCTCCCCCCCCAGCCTCCCTGAACGACTCTCCCCGCTGCTCCCATCCAGCACCACCATGTTCCATTCCTGAAGAGTTAATAATTCAGACAACAAAGGAGCCATTTCAGCCCCCTTTGGCCTCACTGGAGGAAACCAGGAGTAATAACGGTTGGGATGGCTTTAGGTGGTTTTTTTTTCTAATGCCAATGTGAAATAAATTGAAAAATTACCCATAAAATGCAGGTTTTCACCATCTGGCTCAGCCTTACTTCCCATAAACAACCAAGCCCGTAACACGGCATCCCCATCGTGGATCTGAGTGGGGCATGGGGGACCACGTGGACACAGGGATGATGGTGCCACCCTGGCATGGGAGATGAAAAGCATATGAATGAGAGAGGAGATCTGGCTGCACCAGTGCTTGTGGGCACTGCCGACGATGGATGGCCGTGGCTGCAGATGCCCGGCTGGGCTGTCACCCTGGCACAGCTCATGGCAGCTCCTCGCCCCATGGCAGGGACATCCCAGCTCCCCAGGAGCTGATGGGGAATTTTCATTGTCTGGACCTGGAAGGAAAATGCTGTGCAAGGGCCAGGGAAGCGCCTCGTCCCCGGTCACGCTCTCCGGCTGCTGGCACGAGTCAGCAGATGTCAGAGCGAGCCCTGCCAGGGTGAGCCCCCTCACAGGATCATGCTAATTGGGTGGCTCTCATTAGCACTGGGTCCTCGGGGACGGCAATTTGCTCAGCTCATCACTGGGCTGTGCAATAGTGTGGAGACTGGTGGCGGTGGGTGCCAGGTGTCCCCGAGGGAGCAGAGAAATCCTGTCATTTCCCTTAATTTGGTGATTTATGACTGCTCCTCTGAAAATTGCAGTGGGAAGGGATGATGTGTTGTCCGCTGAATAATCGGGTGTCTGTTATCTCTCGGTTTTTGGGGGGCTCGGGGAGGGTGGGGAGCTCGGCTGGTGGTGGCCGGGGCGGCAACCACGGTGAGTGAGTCAGGGCTGAGCCAGCGGGCGCTGCTGGCAGCCCCCGGCTCCCTCACTCAGCCCCGCTCCACGCCAGCGCAGAGGGAATGAAATGTTCCTCCTCCGCCTTCCAAAGCACCAGGGAGAAAGTGTCCAGGAAGATAATTCGGAAAGTTTGCTTGACACTCGAGCACGCTTTCATCTTTGGAAAAATCTTGGTGACCCTCCAAGGCAGCACCGCCTGCTTCCCAGCACGGCCGGCACCCTGGGGCATGTGCCCGTGGCACCACCCCAGAGGCTGGTTTTGGGGTGTCCAGGGATCTGGAGGGGATGGTGTGGTCACTCTGGGACCACAGGTCAGCCAGGGATGCTGGCACAGGGATACTGGCATCAGGGATGCTGGCACAGGGATACTGGCATCGGGGATGCTCCTGGCCAAGGCAGCAAAGTGAAAATGAAAGGGCTGGAGCTGGGGGGAAGGAGACAGCAAAGGGCACCAGGATGGAGAGGACCCCAGGACGAAGGCAGGGTTTTCTCCTCACTTGCAACGAGCTCCCCACAGCCACCAGGACCGGAGCAGCGGCCGGGAGGGATATTTTCTCCAGAGCAGGGGCCCTCGTGCATCCCAGGCGATGAATGTGGGTTTGATCAGGGGAGGGTTTGAGCGGATGGTAGTGGATAAGGAAGAAAAATATTTGGCATTCCTCTCCCATCATAACAAGCCCAGATGCTTGGACAGTGGCAGCCCACTTCCCACAGGAATGGAAAGTCACAGCCTCTCCCCGCGCCAGCTCGGCAGAGGCCCTTTCCCCCGCGCTTACGAAATGCCGGCTCCACCTAACACCGCACCGTGGCCCTCCTGGGGCATCCCACAGCATGGCCACTTCTGTCACCCCGTCCCCAGCGGTGGCACTGCCCGTGACCCTGGTTCCGGATGAGGCAGAGCTCAGAGCTCAGCAGAAGTATGGGGAAACCCACTGGGAAAGACCAAACTGCTGATTTACTGCCCGAGCAGGAGCCCAGTGTTCCCCGGGTGCTCCTCCCCACCCCGGCATATTGGGAACACCTGGGGCCAGCACAGCCCTGTGAGGGAGGAGAACCCCGGCAAGGCTGGCGCCGAGGGAATCGTAATGGGAAGCAGCTCCTGCTTGGCCGGAGCTGGTGGGAGCAACTGGGCTCTGCGTGGTGGGAGGCAGCTCCAGCCTGCCCAGTAGCCCCTCTGGCCACCTCCCATGCTGGCACACAGAGCCAGTGAGGCCCCTCGGTGCTGGGATGCCGACGGCTCTCCCAGGCAGGGTGGATGGCATGAAGGTGGCTGACTTCAGCGCTGGCATCAGCCAAACCTCCTTCTCCTCCTCCTCCTCTTCCTCCTGCCATGCTTCAGCTGCTCCTGGATCTGTGCCGCCCGCCGGTCTCCCTGCTCTCGAGGGCTTACGGCACCCCAGGATGTTTAAAATTTGCCTTAAATCAAATCCTTCATCCCAGAGAGAGCCCCAGAGCTCCCGCTCCCCTCCCGCCAGCGCAGCTCCTCCGACTCCGCTCCGGCCCCGGCCGCCGGTGCGGCTGCGCAGCCTCCGAGCGCTCCGGCTGCCAAAACAGAAGCAAATCCCGAAGACGGAATTGGTGTTGAGCAGCGCCGAAGGCCGAGGGACGGCGGGAGGAGGAGAGGGAGCCGGGAGGAGGAAAGGGAAGGCGAGCGGCGAGGTGGGAGGCGGGAGGGAAGGTTTGGTGTCGAAACCGAATTCCTGGTCCGTGCCAGTGGAGCAGATTTCCAGTGTTTATTTTATCTCTTTAGTTGAGCCCCTTTGAGGCAGAATATATTAAATGGCTTGACTTTATATAATGAAAATAATTGAAACAATACTCCTGCTTCCCAGCCGCAATTTGTCGTGATTTCAGCCAAGAGTGGCCAGCCTCCTCTAGGTGGTGGGGACAGCCGCCGCCGTCGGCGCTTGTTCACTGGTTATTGTTGACACATGTCAGCGTCGCCTTCCAATTTCCGTACAGCTGTCAGAGCGGGAAAAACACCACGGCGGCTCGCACGACACGGGCTCGGCGCCGGCCGGCACGGACGGGCTCGCCGATGGGCTGCGGGAAGGGCATCGCCCCGGAGCTGGGACTCATCTGCTGTCAGAGGGCCGGCGGTTATGGCTGAGCCAGGATTTCTCAGGGAGAGGTGGGATTTGGGCAGCACTCGCAGGTAGGTGGGAGATGAGGATGGTGGAATGGGGAGAAACCTGGGAGGAGGGAGGATGTGGTCACTCATTGCATGAACCGTTGCGCTTAGGTCTTGGGATTCACCAAGGAAGGTGAAAGGAGGAGATGGAGATGAAGGTTGGGGGTTGTTGAAGGTTTTACTCAACTCCTCCCCAACAGCCAGTGGACATTGAGGCAGGGTTTCTGCAGAACAAATTCCCCCTCAGCCCCAGCACCATCCTGGGCAAGAGCTCACACCGAGTGCTGTCCTCGCAGCTGACATCAATCTCCAACCCGCATGTGCCACTGAAACTCTGCCATCTTTATTTTTCCACTGAGAGGCAGCTGAGCTGGATGCACAAATAAATAGCAAGCACGATGGCGAGAAGTCCCCCACGT